GTTGTGCATATCTGCACACGGCGACATCATCTGCTTTCAAGTTATTCTTTCTGATAAGAGTTAGTCCAGTCAATTGATTCTTAGTGAGGATATTAGGTTTGATAATCCTCTCTTCCTTTCCTTAAATTATAGGCGCGCTAGCCTGGAAAGACGGCAACTCTACCACGACACGGAGGCATTTTACGAATCTTTGACAACACATGTTACGGTTGCCATTCAACCTGAGTTTAAATGTCGCTTACTGCGGGATCCTGATTATGCTAATGTGCTTCTGAGCAAGTCACTTACATATAACCAGATGGCCAATCGGGCTGGTGAAATATTACAAGTAGATCCTATGAAGCTACGATTCTTTACTCGGCACCGAAACTATAATCCGGAACCCATTTGTCGGATTGATACGTTGGCAGACATGATGGAGCGACCGTTCAACGACTGGACAAGCCACAGGATATTTTGTTCTAAGCTTCCAGACATGCCCATCTGTCAGGTTGAATCGAGACGCTGGATGAACATCACCTCGCCTGGGGCTCACAACTCGGATGAGGTACGATATCCTATGTTCCGATGCGCTTTGGACTATTGCATTCCAAATTTATCCTATGAGACTCAATGGCATGTTTTTTTTTTTTTAAAAAAAAAAAAAATCTACTCCAGACGAAACATTCGTTGATGCCTACGACTTCTCCGATGACTAATTCAGCCGACCAACTTCCAAGACTGGTCAGAATCTCAGAAACCCCATGTCAGAAATCAAATCTTTCCACGATCGGGAGCCCGAATTCAGAAACAACAGTTGGAAGTTTTGATTTGTTCCTTTTCAACCATGTCTGGACGTGATGAGAGACAAATTCCCCGCAGTCTTGAGTATATCCTCTGAAGAAAAAAGTCACAGACATTCATTATGAATTCCCACAAACCCCCTCGCACATATATTTAACATACCTGTTTCACAGGCCTTTGATGTCAGACACTGAGACACTAGCCCAGGTGTCTACAATAGAATGTAACCCCCTTGGGTTACATAACAATTATTATTATGTGTAATCTTTAAGTTAATAATTATTAAGTAATGTTATCCCTTTTTACATGTATTTTTTATGTTAATAATTATTATGTAAATTAATAAAGATTCACCTCTTTATTAATTTACCTCTTCCATGAAAATTATAATCAAGTTGAAAAGGATAATTATCTCCTGGGTGTATCCAAGAGATGATTATCCAATTTACCTCTCTTGTGTGTATGTTTATTATGTTTATCTCTCTTATGGTATTTTCTGAAATAAAGGATATTCAACACATGTACATTTATCATGCTCTGAATATCCTGACACTTTCCCCCAAGGAAAAGTGTAACAATAAGGGGACTGCACCGGTCCCAGCAGCAGATTGACCCCTGCTCTGTAATATTTAAGAGGATGCTTCTCCCCCTGAGATTCATCCCCCAGACAATATTACCATACAAACCCAAGTGCCTTACTATAATACATATAAATTAGTGAGTGGGGTTTTATAGTAAATTATTGTATCTTAGTTATTACCTTTCTCTTTATCTTCTTACTAGCCTTATAAGTTACATATTTAACTTATAAGACTAGTACAAACCTCAATTTCCTTATACTCCTTCAGCTCAGGCACTGTGAAGCTCATCCCACAGTTGTCCCTTATTATTATAAGGAGCTAGCCCCTCCACTGTATTAGTGTTGAGGAGAGGCTCAATTCCACTGGCCCTTCTTGGCTAAAGTGTGACCAAAACCCATCAACTCTAGGTCACATAAGAGACCAGAGCTGACAACTGGGGGTCTGGCCGGGAAATTATTTTTCCGGTGCACCACCATCAATAAGATTTATAAAATTTTCTTCCCTTACAGAAAATATATAAAGGATATCTGTTGAATTCTTGGTTCCAGATTAACCCTTTTGAATCTTATACCTTGCTTACGTTAAACTGATCTGTGAATTTTTCTTTTCATCTCAGACCTAAATTCTCGACAGTACATTCTTCCATCCTACTCCCTCGAGCTATTCAGGTTTAACCATCTGATTTA